CTGAACGCATCAGAGTCTGAACGCATCAGAGTCTGAACGCATCAGAACCTGAACGCATCAGAGTCTGAACGCATCAGAGTCTGAACGCATCAGACCCCGAACGCATCAGAGTCTGAACGCATCAGACCCCGAACGCATCAGAGTCTGAACGCATCAGAGTCTGAACGCATCAGAGTCTGAACGCATCAGAACCTGAACGCATCAGAACCTGAACGCATCAGAACCTGAACGCATCAGTCAGACAGCAGAAGGAACAGAGGTGAGGCGATACTCACAGCGAAGCGGAGCAGCAGACAGGATTTTCCCACCCCAGAGTCTCCGATCAGGAGCAGCTTGAACAGATAGTCGCTGAAAATGAAAAAAAAGAATAAATAAGTTATTTTAAAAGAAATCATCTGAATGCTGTTAAATTTAACCTTAAAAAGAGCAAAAGCAGAATCTTTTTAACTGCTTATGTTCCTAAAAGGAGCTGAACCCCTAAAAAAACTATTATTATTATTATACGATCTGTTTGAGAGGAATATATTTAAAGGTCACAGCTACGACTTTTCCATCAGAATAATTTATTTCTCATTTATAAAACATCGTCTAGATTCAGAAACAGCTCATAACGCATTTGTCCTGCTGGATTTTATTAGAAGACATTTTTTGTGAGGTGAGAGCTCCATTAAATCTGCCTTTAAGAAAACAGTTTGATCCTAATTTTTGGGTGATTTTCTTTTATTTATTGCAACATTATCCGTCTCTTACAGACGGATGTTTCAGTGTGACTCACCTAAAGTCAAACGCTGCGTCATGATGTGAAATCTGCTGTTTCAACAGAAAAAAAAGCTTCCAAGAAAATAAAATAAATAGACATCTGAAAGTTTTTTGTTTTTTTTCCAGGTGTCGTGTGGTGAAAAAAAACTGAAGTTATTGTCTATTGTGGTCATTATCTAGGGCAGAGGTCACGGATTAGAAGTTTGGAACTAGTCTGACTTAAAACATTTATAAATTACTGCATGTTGTCCGACAACAGTGTCTAATTTCAGTTGCACTTCTTCTCCTGTTAATACGGTAAAGCCCTGGGGAGCGTCCGGCTCCAGGCTGCACGTGATCCAAATGAGCCAATGAGCTGTCAGTCTGGGTTGCTGCTGCTGCTACTTTTAGTAGTAGACTGTCCCTGTAGTCTGTCCCTTTAGACTGTCCCTTTGTTCTATCCCTGTAGACTGTCCCTGTAGTCTGTCCCTGTAGACTGTCCCTGTAGCCTGTCCCTTTAGACTGTCCCTTTGTTCTATCCCTGTAGA